GCTGTCCTATTCCTTTTTCGGTTTTCAATCCACAGACTCCCAATCGAACAGCCTCTTTTTCTCGGTTTCTATCTGCTGCTTCCGATGACCTGCTGCCTCTTTCTCTTGACCTGCTGCTTCCTTCTCTTTACAGCCAATCGAACAGCCCAAGGTCACCTGTTGCTCGATTTCTCTCCTTCGATCACAGCCCCTTTCGATTGCTCTCGTATGGACCTCTCCTCCCCAATCGACAGACTCTGCCTTTTAAATCGACAGCTCCCTTCTCGACAGCCTCTGCTGTCCTCTGCTCCAATAACCTCATGCTCCTCCTCGATTGCCCCTTCTTTATCGACAGCCTCAATCGTCACCTCGTACTCGCCCATGATCCACGATCTCTGCTTTGTCTCTTGCTACCCACGATCTCTCTCGCTCTGCTGTCTGCTTCCTCTCGTTGCCGATTCCAAGACTGGGCAACARCTTTTGGGCTGCTGTTTTGCTTATTTCTTTTGGGCAAGAGTTGGGCCTGAAAATATGGGCTTCAGCAGGACTGTTTGGAAGCAAGRAACTAAAAMCAAATAATCAATTCTTATTTTCTYTCTTTTCCCAACTGAAATRGCCTCATAGGATTAAATACCATCTTACATAAAAATGGACGTTTTAAGCATCTATTTATCATTAAATGCAAGGTAACTTTGACATAAAAAATGTATAAATTTTGCACTTGTCAAAATCCCCCACACTTAAATCATTGTCCGTCCCGGCATTGACTTGAGTTAACACGTAGTTATAAAAATCGAATCCAACGAGAATGTCAACACRAATAGCATATCATGAGTTTGAGATTTGCAACAAAGCATTAAAAAGAGGATGCACACGCAATCAAATAGACACAAGCTAATTTCGAGAACTCTCACGAATGGGATTAACAAAACAACACTCGATTCACTCCTTGGGTTGATGTGTATCGCTCAATTCGTCAATGCACTAGCATGTATCTACCATAAGCTTGAAAAACCTCTCACTCTCCACTACTCGGATAAAATACATGCTTATAAATCAAAAGGTCTTAAAGGGTGTAACGAAAAACAAGGTTTGGGTACGGTAGGGATATATAGAGGAAAAGTGACTAWGACCTAACACCAACGGAGAATTCCGGCTACTTAACCACACTTTATTTTTAATAATTTTTTTTTCACAAAGGACTTTTGTATCCATCTTTGAAGCTCATTCCTTTTCGGACGATAGGGAATAGAGATGAAACACTTATATTCAACTGTATCTTCATTTTCGTCGTCTATTTAATTTTTATTGACGACGTAATTTTGCTCTTCATATATATATATATATATATATATATTTTTTTCTTTCTTTTTTTTTTCTTCCCGAACATATGAATTCTTCTTTCAAGTATACAAGGATATTGGGATCACTCCATTGGTGCTTAGTCGGGTGAGTCGTGTTTGGATTGGTTCATGATGTGGGTGACAAAGGAAATAGGCTAAGGCTCAAAGTGGTGTGCAAAAGGGATAATGACAACATAAAGGGTAGGCTTAAGGCTAGTGGTTTAACACAAAAATGAGCAAACGATGGCCTTTATCATGTTTATTATCATGTAGTCTTAAGGAGAGAAAGATCAAGTTCTAGAGATGCATATCTAGGCATGACGCAATCACACAAGAAATGAATTTGAGACTAATATCAAGTATTTAGTCTAAGTAAGCTCAAAGTCTCACGGTGTTCAAAACTAGCTCAAGAGATTAGCAATAGTTTACTTTAACCGATATGCTACCACTAATCAACTCTAAGTGCTATCAATCAAGCTCAATCATGCTATACACGCATCCAAACTCATCGTCATCAACAATTTAAACTCATTAAAAACATGCTAACACATTGTCAAAACGGACAAAGATCCTCATTTAAGCACAAAATTTGCAAAAAGCAAAAATTTGACCCCTAAAACCATTTATATACCCCTAATCATGTAAATAACCCCCACCCCCACACTTAATTCATACATTGTCCTCAAGGTATGCAAGAAGTAGAGGACACTCTAAGCAATTAAGGAAAAGGAATAGAAAACTCCCCTGATTTGATGAGTGACCTCCCAATGTAAGAATCCGTGGAGATGGGCGCGTCTGTTCAAGCGTCCAATATTCGGGGTGAACCTAAGAGCATAGAAATCCAAGAGTGAAATTAAGACTCTAAAAGTAAACTAAATAACTGAAAGCAATAAATAAAAAGAAATGGAAATTCGTGGGTTGCCTCCCACGCAGCGCCTTTCTTTTACGTCTTTGGCTAGACCATACTCGGTTCAATTCTTGTAGCTTGGCGTGTCCAAAGCTACCCTCTCTAATTCCCCTCCATCAAAGCCTTCATAGAACGGCTTTAGCCTATG